AATGCGTGGGATAAAGCTCTATTTTGATTATTAGGGCTTAGATTAGAACACTACTACATTTTTTCCATAATCTCAATTTCTTGAAAAATTATTCATGCATTAATCGTCTGGTTTTTATTACTGTCGACTTGCGCCGATGTGCGCTCATAAAATGCCTATATGAGTCGAACGATCTTCTCTGGGGCACCGTCGTATTCCATCACCTTTCAAACCGCCTTTCTATTAATTGAATAAAAGGCAAGCGCAAAATCGATGAAACACGTGACAGCGAGTTGCAAATATCTGAGCGATGTTCCACGACTCTTCTTAACGTGAATATCTGGTCAGCAAAACCGAACCCCGGTTTGAATCCAGCTTGATTAGGGCACATCCTGTCGTTCCGTATTTTCATAAGTCTGTTGAGTGACAGGAAAGCAAAAATTTTCACTGGGATGTCTAATTCTACGATAATTGTTGCATATGCCCTGTCATCTTTCTTGAGAATTGAAAGCAGAATTTCTCTGCTGTATTCACTTGGTTTATTTCTTTCTTCTATGCTATAAAGTACATTTGTTGAAGGTACATTGTGAAGGGTGATGGACAACATTTAAAGAATTCAGCACGAAGACCATCTTCTCTCGCAGTTTTATTAGCTTTAAGCTTATGGATAACGGAGATTATTTCTTCTTCTGTTGGCAGTTTGCAATTGCAGACGTATGGTTCGACGAACATATCAGCTATATCAGTGGCAATAGATTGCGCTTCATGGTTAAGTTTGATTTCAATAATTCTTTCCATCTTATGAGGGCGGTCCTTAATATTTTTGATCAGTACGCCATTGCTGTCTCTTACCATTTCACTGATCGTTCCCCGAGTCATAGTTGCTTTATGAAGAAGGCAGAATAATTTCCTATTGTCACCTAATCGAGCCGCTCTATTCTTGAGGCCATGTCACTCCAACAGTGATTTCTCTCCCTCCGTGCTTTCATTGCAAATCTTCGATGCATCCGGTAGTCAGGATTCTGCTTTGGCAGCTTTTTCAGACAGTTTGGCAGTTCCGATACCTAACTAGCACAGCTCCGACTATGCCCTAGCGTGGAAGTGGCTGACTTTCGGAGACATTCCTTTTGTATTCATTTGCCGTTCCAGAAAAGTCATTAATATTTGTATCACTGAGATGCTTCAATAATTCAGTTTGAATTACGCTCACTGCCCACGAATTTTTTAGTTTGAGATAGTTTAAGGAACTTGGGGGATGCCGCATAGAGCTTATCTTTATCATGGTCATCTGTCGACAGACTTGGAGCATAGACACTGATGACCGAGAATTGCTGATAGGCTATACGATCATTTACCAGTTTTTACTTAATCAAAACGGAATGCACCTTGTCAGATGGCAATCGCTACGCCATTTCGCTTCATGTTTCTGAAGCACCACAGTGATACAGCCAATATCTCTGCTTCGAACCAGGATTACTGATTATTCTAGATTTGAAGTGATGGACCTCCGACAAGCAAGCGATATTTAGAAAGGGTATGGACAAAGATCGCTTGATTTATAACTTACAACATCCATGAGCGTTCTGACACTGATACGGCTAATATCTCGCTGCGCGTGCAGAATGCTGTTCTCCTTGATAGGTTTCGAGCAATTACCCTGGCTTGCGAGTACATTTTATTTGTCAGCTTTGGGATCGCTTTACGCTGCTTTGATAATCTGATTAACTTCTCTGTCATACTACCGTGTTGCAATACATTTGTCAGAGCGCTGGGCTATCGATCGACTTAAAAGTAATAGTGAATTAACTATGTCTTAGCATTTTCTTTGGGAATCGATAATAGAAATTGTTCTATTTATATGAAATTCGCTCTTTCTCCCGCACTAATGAATATATAAACTTTAAAAGTGTGCTATGTGTGGCAAAAGCCAAAACAAATCCAGTAAGAAGGATTACGGCACCATTATTTCAGCAGCACATTGTTTTTTCTGAGTCACCGCGTAAAAAGATGCTTCAGGTTTTCTCTTTATGAATATAAATTATATATTTGAAAGTATCATTACAGAGAGACACATCATCATTGAGTGTATTCGTCTTAATTTAAACTAATCTTACTGGGATTATCTTTATCTCATGCTCGGTTGGTGGTTCACAGTTTCAATGGTACGACGCTAAATGATTCCAATTTTGGATCATCCAAATGTCGTCGTTAATTTCAGATTCAAAGAATTTTCTTCATCGGGAAAAACGATCCTCGATGACTTAACGGGATTTTCATCATTATTTCCGGACATTTCACTGGTCAATTCTTGAGCTTCTTGAGTTGCCTTACGAAATAAGTGAAAAATACAATATTTGATATTCGAATATTCGAGATGCTTTCGCCATACTCAAAACCACTGCAATAATAGCATTTTTTATAATTAGGCTATTTGTAAAATGAAAAAAATGTTTCATATAGGAGTCAATACTTAATAAATTTAAGTTCCTGAGGTTAAAAGATTTCCTGTTGATTAAAGGGTATTCGCTTTAGATAAAAATCAGATTACGAGGTAAAAGTTGCCATCTTCCAAAACTGAGCACTCATACAAGCACCGAATATTTTTATTTTTATTTTATTATTTATATTTTTATTTTATTTTATTTATTTTATTATTTTTATTGTTTTATTTTATTTTTTCGTCGGTTTTATTTTGTATTTTTTATAAATTTTTTGATTTAAAATTATTCATGAATCCATGTTTTAATTATTTTTGGAAAAATCCCATAACTTCATGGCTTGCAGATATTGATAAGTTTGATGATTGGCCTAATAATGCTTTTTTCATGGATCGCTTACCTATTATCAATATTTTCTCTTATCAAGTTAGCGAGTCCATTAGGTTCGCGCTTTTTTCTTTTTTGTCAATATTGAGGAAAAAATATATAAAATTCGAGAATTTTTCGTATTTTTCGACAAATCTTAATTAATGGATGATGCAAAAACCAGTAGAAGAAGCTATTTGTCAATATTGGATTCATTTAAATCTTAAATTTTTATAAATTATTCATTCTAAAAGAAATTAGTGTAGCAATGCTAAATGGTTTGTTATTAAACAATTATTCGGTAGTTGAGGAGGATTTTTTGTTGAAATATATTTTCCTATAATGAATTTAAATTATCAAACTTAATAGCCATGTCTTTCTAAACTACGGCAAATTCCAAATTTTAACAATTTTCAACAATATTTATTTTATCGAAAGGAAATTTTCGAGTTTCAAAGGATAAAGAAGAGAATAAGCAAGATTTTAAGATATTTTTTAGAATGTCGATATTGCAAATAAAATGTATTTATATAATATATCACGACATTCCAATGTTGACGATATATCCGTGTTGAATAAATTATTTTAGAAGTAATTTTGCATTTTTTAGTTCGCTTATCAACGGAACAATTTCTGCTGTTGTTAAGCGTTTCGTCAACATTGGCTTTTTTTATTTTATTATCAATGGTATTTTTATTCTATGAAGCCTACCAACAAGTTAAAGAAGAAAATGATCGTAAGAACGAAATTGAAAATTTTGTTCCATTTGTGCGAAGCAATATTGCTATACGTCCAACATCATTATGACGACTTTATTTCAACTGCCTAGTTTGTTTAAATGCAATAAATCGAAAAGTACCAAAGAGATAAGAGTGTATTAATCTTGAAATGGCGGCCACATGCCAAAGCAATCAAAAGACGGATGAGTCTCCATCAATGGATGGATTGAGTCAATCAATAATTGGAAAATCTTTTGGAGGATTATTAAGGTTGCTGCTCTTCGTTTCCAAAATATTTTTTCGATTTCTATATTTTTAAAGAATTTTAACGAAATATTTTTAAAGCGTAGTAAACAGGAAGAAATTTCGAAATGTTTATTTGATTATTCATGAATTATGGATTATCAATTTGTCTAGTTTGAGAAAAATGTTAATATGGAAAATCTTTATAACGAAGACTAAAATCAAAGAAAAGAAAAGTCGAGCGGGTGGTGACTAATTACCCGCCTGAGAGGCTAGGAATCGGCAAGAGTAACTTGTGCAGGTGATGCCATATAGCCACCTATAGTTCTAACTCTAATTTTTCTGATAAAAATCCTATGGATAGCTAGCAAAATTAACCTAATAAGAAATGGTGGGCAGCAACCACTTATAATTTACTTGCCGCAGTTAGAATTCTATAGATCTAATTCCCAACAAATATTTTTTGCTCATTTTGGTCAAATTTTCGAAGCTCAACTCAGAATTTTTCAGAAAGAATATGACGCATTTGTTTTATTAAATTGTGCCTAAAATAATGATAATCAATAATTATTATAATAAATAATAAATATTTTATATCATACGAAAATGAAGAATTGAAGAAAACGATTGTTAAACATTCTTTTTTCATTCCATAAACTTTAAATTGTTTAACATATTTTCAGGGAATTTTTACCAGCTTATTATCTCTTCTCCTTTCATTTAGAACATTTTTTGCATATTTCTTCCAACCATATGACAAAAATTTATTTATCAGAATCATTATCATTAATTTTCACCTTATTCCAAATTGGAACAATTATAATTATCATCACATTGTAAAAATTTCGAATAAACAAAAAGTTTACCGGAATTTTCCAAATTAAATTTTTGACTTTTTCAAATACAAAATTTCGATTTTGCAGATTTTGCAGATTTTTATTTCATTTTCACTTTTATTGAGAAACAGTAATCAATCAATTAAATCAAGGCAGATAAGTTATAGAAACAATAATCAAATAATGACGAGCAAAGCCAAGCATTACTGTTAAAAAATATAATGATGCAAAGATTAGGGTTTTTTATGTATGGAAGAATTATTTATGGGTTGAAATTACTAGCAAATTCTGGAAAAATAAAAGAGCAAACCATATACATATTATATACATATATATAAATATATAATATAAAGATGATATTGCCACATAAATAAAATAACTAAAAAATTTCGTTTCGCAGTTTATTTTTTTGTAAAACTCTAAAATTGGTCTTCGGGGAGCAGTCGATTGCTTCTCACTTCATTATTGAAGTCCAAATTTCGTTTCGAAACTTCTTGAACTCGTCGAGCTAAAGGACAAAAAGGGCAACACCAACATGTGAAAAATAACAATACTGAAAATATGCTAATCGATTCCACTCTTTCACTCTTTTAATAATTATTAAATATTTCTTAAAATTTGATTAAAATTAAAATGAAAATTTTTGAGTGCTTAATGCTGGGCTTCATTAAGAAATTTAGGTGATGCTAAGGGATGTTTATCTGCATTTCTATATTTTTGATTCATTTGCTAAAATATCGCATCGCCATAGCCAATAGAGCGAGCCTAACCAGAAATTGTGGGTATTGAAGAATGTATAATAAGTGCATAGATATGAGAAAAATATTTAATTATGACTTACTCAAAAAAACGACTATAACTCCAGCATAAAGGCTATATAACAATCCAGTATGAACAGGATATCTGCAACATGATGGCACAGTAATATCGAAGCCATAACCACAACAATATATGTATTCATCGCTATCTGTATTTCGAGGGCAGTAGGGTGGATAGCCTGCATTTTAATTTCTATGACAATCAGCTATACAATTTTCTTTTCCACTTACCATTTCCTGTCCATGAGCCTATTTTTGACTTTATTCGCCAAATTAAAAAAAGAAAATGTATGAATAAGTATAGGTTAGAACCAAAAATTCTTCACTCACCATTTCCTCCAGGACACCAGTAAATGGGACGACCGCCTATAACATCTCGTCCGTTCATCAGTTTATGCAAATAAAAAGATAAATACGTTTCGTTACTATTATTGTTGTCTATCAGTTTGACAAAGATGCGAAATATTTTTGGTAAAACTGCGTTCTTAAAAAATATCCATCTTTCTCAAAATAATTTCAACCAAATAAAATAATTGTGAAATCTTTTAAATATAAAAATACAAAAAAAGAAAATTAACCATGCTTGTAATGTATTTATTGTCATACTAAAAATTATCTTTAAACATTCGACAAATGAAATTTTCCGATAAAAAAAATAGTAAATGGTAAGTTTAGAAAGTTATAGAGATGAGCATAAGAATTCATATACTTCAATTCTCAATATTTCCAAAACATATAATGGACTGATCATTAAATAAACTTGGATTTCAGTGAATCGTCACATGAAGGCAATTATTTCCATTTAAACTTAAACTTGTTGAGCTGGTCTCAACTGCTTTTGTATGCACTTCTCGATTTATATACGCTTAACTCTGGTTTCAGCATTGTATGGTAATACAAAAATATTAAAATGATGGGAATCTTGAAATATATAAATATATAAATTGTACCGATCGTAATTCTGATTGATAACTAACAATAATTCAGATAATCCTAATAATTCGGAACACAAAATGAAATAAGTTTTTATAAAAATAAGTTTTTTTAAAGAAAAGACGTTCTTTAAAGAAAAAAGTTACCAAGTAGTTTTTCCCAGGAAAGGTGTTTTTTAAAGACGAAAATGTTGAATAAATCTAACGGACAAGTTTCTTCGAATAATTTTTTGATGAATCGACTCACAACCAAATGTGGTGAATTCGCTTGAATAGAAAATTATAAGCAAGAAATACCGCAAATAGTCAATCACTAATGCTTCAGCGAATCATGAAAAACGACGGCTGCCTAGCCTTTTGTAAATCAATAGGAGATGAAAAATTATTTTTCCAAACCCACCACTCTTTTAAGATCAAAATTTTTTCTCCTCTCAATATTCATTGTATATTTGAATTTGAATTTTAGATTTTTACCTGAAATTTTAGGAAATTTTTCGCTTATTTTTTTTCTTGACTTTATCTTCTAATGGGCAATAAAAAAGGATCGCATTTCATAATAAATAAGCAAATCAATGATTAGTTAGTGATTTGCAAATTTCAGTAGTTCTCATAATTTTTGGTTTAACCAATCTCCACCGATTAGAATGGAACTTTTTCGTTTTCATATCGCATAGAAATGGTAGCACAAGAGGTAAAATCATGTTTAGTAAATTTTTATTGTAAATCAGCGCAGAATATTATTTAATATTATGAAAATTAAAAAATGTAGAGAAAATATTGAAAATGTTTCATTTTCTTATTTAGAACTCTGCTTGAAGATTTTATTGAAAATAAAACTTTTGGAAATAATTGTAAAGTTTTTCCATTTCTTCACAATCAATTTTTTATAATATTTTTTTCATTGAAGACTTTAGAAAAAAATCTGTCGATGAGCATTCATGCATACTTTTCTGAATATTTCAAGCATTCATGCATACTTTTCTGAATATTTTTAAAATTCGCACCCCTAATCTCCATAAGAAATTAAAAGGCCTATTTCAAAGGCTTCAATTAGGAATAAAACCATTTTGATAAATGAATCAGTTTTGATGCATTTTTCGATATTATAAGCGTAATTTTTATATATTTACGCAATAAATAATACAACAACAATGGTAAAAATTTACGTGGATCTTCAAAAGAAGTGATTTATAAAGAATGGTCAATATGACCAATTGTGGAATTATTGGAAATGAAAATTTGATGATTGAAACTGATGGACATGATAGAATTGAAAAGGATTCCAATATATATATATATATATATAAAACTAAAAAAATTCAAAGCGTCTTGTCTAATTTGGATTATTTCTTAATTTACAACGTTTTTAACAAAGAGGCAAGGAAGATAATTCACTGCCAGCTAAAATCATATTATTTCTCTTGCCTACCGAATATATGAATTACTCGTGGACTATCGTTATCGAAATCTATAGGAGGTGCTTGAACCATTTTTTTATTGCTACCTGTTATATCGGTATTCATACTCGACGCAGATCCTGGCAAGACCTCTTGCTTAATGATAAACCTTCGACGTCCTGTGCTAGAAAATTATGAAAATATGAATAAAAATTACAAAAAAACCCAATAAATTTGTGGTTATTATGCTATAAAAATGCGAATTTTCTTCTTCTACTAACAGTAGGCACCATCTCTCATTTAGCTGTCTAAGTTGGATATTAGAATTCTAAGATCTATTATTAGTGAGTTCCTTGAGGATAAAGGTATAAATGCCCAGTACCAACCATTATCAAATTTTATTTTATTTTTAATGCAGATTCACTAACAAAAATCTCGCCTATCATAGATAGCTTCAGCTTTATAACCAAAATTTCACCCGATCAAAAACACTTATTATGTATCGGCCTCCATACTTTATTTTTCTATTATGGAAAATTCTATATGAATTTTGAATCAATTATCGAGAAATCAAGAGGAAATACCTCGTATCTGTGTCGCTTCCTGATGGATCCGTCTGAAATTTCCTAGTTGGAGATACAGAAATTCGAAATCGGCGTTGTGACATTGAAGATGCATCCTAAATAACAAACAAATTTTATTTTAGAAAAACAAATTTTTATTCAGTAAAACAAAAAAGTCTTGGTTTACTAAACAATCTAATGCGTAGTGTGTTTCAACACAGTATAAGCTCACTTGTTTGGTTGATGAACCAACTATAGGTTTCATAATTTTGTGTGATTTTCTCTTTTCGGCTGGTTTATCCGTTAGATCATTAGAATTGTACGCCACATTTTGTAGTTTAGACCTTTTTTCTTTAACTTCTTCAATTGATGGCCATGGTTGAAAGGTGGTATGCATCGATTTTGAATCAAATCTATGCAAATAAAATGTGCAAAAAGAATGAATTTTTTTCGCAAATTTTATTTTGAAATAGATTTCAATAGTTGATTGGTCAAAAAAATTTTTGGAATTCGCAGAACTGAAATAAATTCAATTTTCTTAAAGCTTCATCTGAAAAGGTAATTTTAATTTTTAATTTTAATTTTAATTTTTGGAACATTTTAATTTTAATTTAATTTAATTTTAATTTTTGGAAGATTTTACATATGAATTTTGACTCGCTGGCAAACAATCTATTAAACCCAGTAAAAGAACAGAACGAATTTAATTGACTATGAATCCAAGAAAATTATTCATATTTATTCAATAGACCTTGACAATATTATAGAGAAATATTAATGATATTGTGGAGAATCCAAGAAATTTTTCTACACCTTCTATCGGAGAATGAAAGATTTATTTATATACAATAGATGGAAAAAAAATGGCTACATTGGCAATGGCTACAATGGAAAAAATCTGGCCACATCTACTACATCATCCTCACCAACAGTATATCGGCAAATGATAGACTTTTTCGAAATAAGAACTGGTGTCCGTCAAGGCTGTGTCTTTCCCCTACAATATTCAACTATGCGATAGACTGGATAATGGACACCACTTGTCGGCACTCAATGGGTGTCCAAATCAATCCAGAGCATCGTATCATAATATCTTGAATATACTCTGATAATGTAGTCCGTTTTGTTGACAGTTATGACGAACTGCAAACAAGTTAAACAGCGTGTGATATTAAAATCAGGCAAATGCAGCAAGACTCAAGATCAATATAATAAAACCTTCTTATCTACAAAAAGATGATAAAATAATTTTTTTTATAAATTTTTTTTTATAATAATTTTAAAAAATTAAAATAATAATTTTAATTTATTTATAATTTATTTTTTTTAATTTTTTTTCATTGCCTGATTTTAATATCTTGGATCCACTCTAATGCCGAATAGCCAGGCAAAAGACGAAATTACTCCGGATAACTGTAGCTAGAAATGCATTCTTCTTCCGGCTAAGGAAATCTTTATAGAGCCCTCGCGAAATCACCAGAGAAACGAAAGTTCGTGTCTTTATAGCTACGAGACATGGCCGATGAAAGTGGAGAGTGTGCTGTTAAAAGCTATCTCAAGCCTTTGACCATATCTAAGACACATTTTATGGGTTCGCCGAAAGGATAAAATCTCACATGATTTCATACACCTCTGCTCAAATACCGACTACATTAGTATTACGATCAAAGAGCTTACCTTCGCTGGTTATGGCATTTTCTTTACCACCCACATCTTTCGTTACTTATTAAAACCTCTAATGGATGGCGTCAAAAACGAGGTGGACCAATCAAGGCCTGGAGTGATTCCGTTAGGAAAGATTTTGAACATATAGGCGAACCAGCAATATATGGATTTAGACGATGGAAAAAGGAATAGCTTCTATTACTGTCGATGACATCAGATCGCGCAACTTGGAAATATATTAACCTGTGGTCTTACCCTGTAGCCTGTGGAGCCAATATAACCAGTAATGATGAGAGCTGTTAGAAGAAGATGAAGAAAGAAGCAACAATGTTATCCAAAATCAAATTGAATCAATTCATACTTTAATGAATTATTGGGTAAAATCTGAGGAATTTTCGTTGATGATTGTGGTGTTTTAGTTTCTTCTGAAGAATCTGGTATAACTGATGAATTGTAAGGCATTGGTGGTTTTATGATCTTCAGTGGTTCATCGACTGATTTCTTACTGTTATCAGACTTCTTTTCTTGAGTCTGTTCCTGACTTATCTTGGGTTTTTCTCTATTTAGCGAATTTCCACTGGGAATACTGGAAATAATTTCATAGTTAATTGTTAGAAAATTTTATTTATCTCCCAATCCTTTCTTTTGTTTCAATTTTTTTGCAAAAAAATTGGTCGAAGAATATCTGGAACCATCATTTAGCATCGCAAAAAATATAATAATCGAATTTCTATTATCGGTGAAGGCAAATATAAAGTGAATGCAAGCAAGAAACATACATGCATGTGCCAAGAGCAAACATTCTCGAATCTTGGTCATATGATATTGGTGAAGTGGTTAAATAGCCAACGGCACTAGAAGATATGCCTTGGAGATTATCATAAATACTTATATTAGAATATCTCTCGTTAGCGCTAGTTTGATATAATGTCGCCATAGAGATCGAGCGAGTTTTCTGAGGGCTAGATTCTATTATTTTTGGGAAAGATGAAGATGGTTCAGCTGAGATGTTAGTTGCTTCTGTTAGTCGCCATATAAGACTACTATAAATATTATTGAAGTTAGTTTGCCTCATAACTTGACAAACCTAACCCGTAGGTTTTCAAAATTTCAAAACAGTCTTATTTCTTAATACTTACTGATTATAATATTCAAATAACAAGATTAATTAAAAAGGAAAAAGTTATTTCATTTATAACTCGATTTAATTCATTTAATTCTATATAAATTTTTTTTTTGTTACGAATCACGATGATAAAGGAGCACGCATTGATTACATATAGTTAAATATAAGTGAAGTTAATAATTATCTTTTTGTTATAATAGTTATTCATGATTATACAAGCAGAAATTCATTAGATAAATGTTTCTTAAGCAGTTGACCGTAAGTGTTAAGGTGACAAACCGTAAATCGTCTGGAGTATTTTCTCTTACTTCGCATTGAATACCGTCTTTATTAAGCAATTCTGCCTGGCCGAGAATAGTTGGTGTGAGTGATTGATCTCTGCTTGAATTCGATAAAGATTCAGAACATTCTTTGATTGTGGACCTGTAACCGTAAAATGGTGCAATGAGCTCATGCTAACATAATGAGCTTTATAAGGCTTTTAAAAAAAAGGGTGTTCGAACATACCTTTTTGGTTTGGGTAATAGAGATTCTTTTCCTTCTCTAATAATTGGTTTAGTGGGTATTACTTTAATTCTATTCTCTTCAATCGATCTAGCATCTGGAGTTGTTTCATATGAAACAGAAAGAGATGGATCGTATTCCAGCTGCAAACCAAAAAAATATGAAAGAAATTATGGTTAAGCATCAGGTGATGACCAAAATCATTATACGCACATTTAGTGTTGCAACTGTTGTATAATAGAAATTTTCAAATTTTTTGCTGCAAAAATCTTCAGCAGAGTCTCAAAACCTTATTCAGGCCAACTTTCATGGAGAGCCCATATCTTGCGCGTTTTTTAATTTTCTTCTTTCATCATTCCAAGTCCTTTATTTTTTTCCTTTTTTCGCACTCCTGTTATTTCCTCACCAACTAACCATATTACAGCATGTTTGCCATAGTATCGGTGCCTACTACTAAGTGAAAAGTTCTGGATCAAATAAAAAGCAATTTTTCCTAATTCTTTTGCAAAAGCACTACTATTTTTAATGCTTGATGGAAGCTAGAGTGAATTGAAGATTGGAGATTGGAGAGTAGATTTCCTAACATTATTTTGCTTCTTTGGTTTTCTAAATTAATGCATTCTTACACCATTGTATGCACGCCATGGCTCTCTGCGTTTCTGTTCAACAACTGGGAGACACGATGCCATTTTATTCTTTTCTAGATTATTTCGATGTTCGACTTTCCGTTTATTGGCACCACCTGCCAACTCAAATATTTTCTTTTTTTCTTCAGTTCTTTCCTATAAATAAATCCGAAAAATTCGCAGCTAACATGTGAATAAAATGAAACAAACTGTTCCTATTAAGCTGTTCCTCTCTTTACTTAATTTGACGACAAAGCGATCACGGACTAACAAAACAACCCAAACTTTTTAATGATAAGCTTGTTATCGTCAAGAGACCAGAGCATGGTTTAAAGAATGTCTATTAATAAGCTATAGCTTATTGGTATATGGAAGCATATCTAAAAAAAAGATAGGTAAGATAGATAAATTAATTAGCCTATTAACCAATATTATTCGATATAAAAATAATATATTATGATAAGAAGTAAAACATCTTTTAGAATTAAGAGTTTCACGAACATGTATTAATTGTTTTTGTAAATCTTCGTTGGCCTCGCGTAATCCTCGAATCAATGAAACAAGGAAATAAATAATGAGCCTGCAATACAGAAATGAAAGTTTTGATTATGTGAAAATCTTGCAAAAATTCTTACAAAGAAATTTAAATTTAAAAAACCTCACTTTTAAAATATTTAGGATAAATTATTTTTTAACTAAAATAATTAAGAAACAACGAGAAAAATGAATGGTGAGAGCTGACAGAAGAAGAAAAATGGAAGAATATACATTAACAGCAGAAGTACGGGTATTACAACACCTGGTGAACCAATATATAAAAGCCACCCAAGAATTTTGCCATCAACTCGTCCTTCAAGCATTTGCGTCACAACATTGTAAAATCTCTTATGGCCTCTGTAATCGCTCTTAATAATTTATTAATGGGTAAAAAATTATCTAGTCTTCCTAGTTTTTAAATTCTATCTTCTTTCTGCGCAAAAATCATATTATCAGTCCATAGATTGGGAAAAAAGCCTCAAAAAATTAGTGAGCAAATAGAGCTTTATTAAATTTAGCAAGCGATTAATAACCGTTTGCTAAAAACTCAGTAAAAACTCAATCGGAGTATCAATGAAACTCACGCGAATGGTCCACAGATCGATGATGGCCTTTTTGATGCAATCACGTAGCCAACAGGAAGGGTACACAGCAAAAGCCATAAAAGTAGTACCATTAAATAAAAATTACTTGATCTAAAAAAATTGCAAAATATTTATGAAAAACGAAACAATACTTATTTAATTATATAATTATACTTTATTATTTATTTACTTTATTATAATTATTATTATATAATTTGTTATAAACAAATTGAAAGTGTTATAGTTAAAGGAATTGCCTGGAAGCACGAAAAATTTCTCTGGCTGGAACATTACAACTCATGCACGCCCATCCTCGAATATATAAAACAATTATTAGCTTGATGTTATTTAGAACCGGTAATAGTGGTGCAAAAAATAGTCCAAGCCATATCATTCCTTGATTATTTATTATATGCAGTACATTTTCAGCCACCTTGAACTCACCATATTCTGGCTGAAATAAATAATGGACATAGGATCGCATCGATGATATTATAAAGAAATGATACTTTTATTGTAATTTTTTTAGTAATGCTACCATAAAAAAACTTTTTGCATTTTTCATGTGAAAAAAATTCTTCATTTATATCCTATATGAAAATTCATTATTCAAAATTCATTAAATATCCTTACAAATGTCGTCTCAATATCCCAACACCACCATGAACTGCAATACCTGATCCAGAGACCACGGAAGAAATCGATCAAGAAAATCGACGCTATAGTTATTATAAGATCCATTGTCACTAATTTAGTGAGTTCCTGGAATGTTTTTTCAAAAACGATTGAAAAAATGGTTGCGCTCCAAAACTTAACGGTGAAAAACCAATTACCTGTCCAATCATTGTTTCCCAACAGAAATACGTTTCTTTTTCTTCTGTAGCCATTCGGGCATGCTCACCAACCGCCAGAATAGTTTCATTATCTAATTATTATTTTTCATTTTCATTTGTAAATAAAATCGAAATGTATACCATTTTTATATTTATGTTTATATTTTTTTATATTTATATTTTTATATTTATACATATTTTATATATGTTTATGTTTACCATTTTTTTATTTATTCCTTTGAATAAATAAAAATTAACAAAAATCAACTGGTTAAGCGAGTTGTTAAAAGCACGGGTCATTTGGCCTAATAATTTATTACTGTTAACTATAATTTATTACTATTGCTATTGATTTCCCAAAAGGTCGATCTGGATCCTTTAGAAGATGGTGCAAGTTTGAAAGGAGCTGATAAATCTCGAGTGATTGGTGAGAACTCTGGAGGTCGATGGGCAAGTAAATATTTGTGAATAATTTTATTAAAATACTTTTATATATTTACTTCAAAATTTAAATTTAAAATTTAAGTAAATACTTTTTTTTAAAATTTCTCATAAATTTCGAATTATATTCATGAAAAACTAACAAGAACCAATACTTATAATCGGGAATTGCTAATGTTTTAATATTTAATATGTTTTTCACTGTAATTTTTCTATATTTTTGCAAATTTTTGCCTTCTCTATATTTTTGCAAATTTGTTTAAAACAATACTTTTATAATATTTGTTTCTGCCAAATTTCTTTTATAAGAAAAAATAAATCAAAATAAATTCAAATAAATGAGCTCTTAAAAAAATTTATTTATCTTACTTATTTATTCATAAAATTGAACGAAAATCTCAGATTTTTAATATTTCAAAAATTTAATTGAAAATTTTACTTATTTTTTTCGTAATTCACATAATATAATAATATAATATAATAATAAAATGAATAATTTAAAAATTCTAAAGTTGTAGATGGAATAGGAACAATATTTCTTTCTAAGGAATAAATATAATGGAAAGATTTGGAGCTCCTTATTATTTCAAGCAGCATGGTTCGATTCCATATCACACAGCAATACATCAGTCACTGGGAGAAAAATCCATGTGACGGTGGGAATTTGTCTGCGTGTTTCCCTTTCCAAGTAGTTCTTTGGCGAAAAGATCTCACCACAAGAATTAATGAAACTAGCTAGAAATAATTATTGCTAGCTAAATTAATTAATTGAAATCTAAAATTTAAATTTGCTTAAAACAGCCAAAAAATTTTAAAAAAATTTAAAATTGCCAACTTGTTTCATTGGCTGATATCATCGACGATGGTAAGTTGGAAGAAAGCACTTCAGCAGTCTGATTTTTTTCTAACGAAAGAATCTTAATAAGAGCCAAAATTTAAAAATATTACTCAAATATTTAAATTTTATTTAAACTCATTTATTTAAATTTTAAAAAAGTTTTCTATGAATATTTACTAGGAAAATGAGCATTTTGCTTAAACTATTCGTTTTTTTTGGAGCGCTGTTTAAATAAAGCAGAAATCATGAAAAAACCGAGTCAAACATAATACTTTTTCCTGTTTTAGATAATTATAATAAGAAACGAGAAGTCGGAAGTTTTTGGGAAATCATACTTAATAAATGAGTTCAGAAGCTGAAATCAGCAACAATTACTTCTTTTTTTGTTTCTAGCCGTTGCAAAGTTACAAAAAAATTAAGAAATTAAAATGTAAAACAAAACTAGCGTCAGACATCAGAACTTTTTCGACTTATAGGAATCCACTTAATTCCTTAAAATTTCCAATTCTATGGTTGACGGCTAATAATAAATTTAATCCAAAATAATTACCTTATCGGGATCTGCGCTAGGTTTATCTGTAAACGATGAAGAATCGTACTGAGATGAGACTTTTCCTGTTTTAAAACTAGCGAGTGATGTAATAATAACATCGGTGGTATTTATAATGGCAGTAATTGAAGCAGTAGTGGTTACTTTTGGCCTGCGCATATAGTCAATATTTTCAATTTTTGGTCCAAGTTTTGATCCATCTAGTAATGTCACATTATGCCGTCGTGGGCCCACTTCCTATAAAATCATTCTCATAAATTTTTTATCTTGAACCATGAAAAAAATGAACTTTAATTTTATAATTCTTTAATTTTAACTTTAATTAAATTAATTTTATATCAGAATATTGAAACAATATTTTACCAAAAAAACATTAGTAGGTAGTTTTTTCGGCTTAAAAGGTGTTCTAGTGAAAGTAGGAAGTGGCGAAGGACCAAGCTTTATAGCTTTGAATCGCCTCTCTTCGTCAGCATATGACATATTCAATAGAATAGCATCAGGATTATTTAACCGAACAGGTCCAAATTCAGATTTTACCTGGAAGGAAATAAATTTGTTTTATAAATTAGCGCAACAATAAATCTTATCAGTTTTTTAAAAAATGGTATCCATTTTCTTTTATTCATTATTTCTGTTCGGCTGAGTGCACTGGTTAGTATGATGAACCAAAATGCCAACTGGAAATAAAACAGAACAGGAAAAAAAGGATGCATGTTCAACATCACACTTATTGATTGCAATATCTTAAATATGGTCAAAGCAACATGCCACTCGCTCTCTCTCCAAGATTAAGAACTTTGAAATATATTAAATTACCATTAAAATTTGGAAAATATGTTATATTGAACGTACTTGTACTCCGTTAGCCAATTTGTCGCGTAAGATTTTTGACTGCCGACTATATCTCAGCGAAAAGCGTTCGAATGAGCCATTGCGGAACCGTTTTGCTTGTTCATTATCAGTAAAATTTTTGCTCGAAAATGACAGCCCTGTCTTCAAAGAATTTAACTAACTTCTTAACGTAACACAAATAATTTAGGAATTACTAGCCAGATGAATTGCAAATTAATTCAAATGCATTAAGTCAAACAAGTTAAGCTAAAACATTAAATAAAATATAAATTCTGCCAATGTTGACGATCTTACTGCTTTATCATCTTATTATTTCAAATAAAAATATTGGAAATGAACTTATTTAATAGGGATTGGTAGGGATGGTTGAGTGGTATGGTTCAATTTATGTCAAGCATCGGAGATTTGATTCCCTGATCCAAGTAGAAACAATACCATCAATAAATCGTGTTAGCGCTGGCAGCTTACCCACATCTCTATGATTTCTTAGCAAAAGTTTTTAGCCATATTAACAATCTGCTGAGTTACCCTAACCAGAATTAATGATAACTAACAACTTATTTAATATGAATGAATTTATGAACTTATGAGTAAATGTTGTAGACAACAAAAACTTAAAGAAACTAAAAATATTTACTAAAATATTTACTAAACTAAAAAATATAAATATTATATTTAAAAAAAAAATATTTCACTGACTCCATTTTGCGCTTGAAGCCTCTTGGATCTGATTGATAATTGACGTTCGTCGATTAATTTCGAAATTTCATCTCCTCGAATTTTGTCCAATTTTTCAAATAATGCAACAATTAATGTCATATAATTGAGCACATAAAGTACTAAGACCCTAAATTTAATTTAATTTATAATTTATTATAATTATTTTAGAAAAACTCTGTTATACATCTGCATATCTGATGATAATATTTTTGAATACTCTTTGGGAAATCAAATGATACATCGCTTGAAATCGACCAGTATGGGATCCCTTTGATAGAAAGCGCCATTAGAATCAAAATATTGCAAAAACTGTGTCAGCCTAATCCCAAAGCAGAGACAAGAGTCTCAACTTTGTAATAAATAGGATTAGCCAAATCAGAAAAGAAGAGTGCTATCAAAAAACCAAAAAAAACTGCTTATGAATGTACTTAAATATATTCTCAATGTTTCATGAGAATAGTAAAAGTTCTACAAGAATATAAGAATTTCAAGATTTTGCTCACCGTGTAAGATGCGCTCTTAAGGCAGTTCTAGGATGATACCTTTCAACAGTGCCGATGAGATCGAAAATCATTGGAAAGACATGAGTGATTGTAGCAACAATTGTAGGCATCTGAAGTAACAATCAAAATTGGTATGCATTTTAAATAGCTTCTTATAGATCAGCGCATCTTTAGGATGGATCTGACATTTTGATTTTCAATTTAATCGAATTACGCTTCAGTCTTTTGAATTTGAGTAATCTTTAATATAAATCGAATGGATTTCAAAATAAATGGTTAAAGCACATTTTTATTGTAATATCTATGGATTTGTAAATTGTACTACTGTAATCAAAGATTTCTTGTAAAAATTGAACTTGAAATTGAAATAAATGGATAAGATATTGTGGCAAGGAAAACTGAACCAAAACTGTAAGCATTTGTGATTGCTTGATAAATGATAAAGTGATTAACCTGATTTTTATTGATTAAACCACCAGTTTGTTCAACAGTTTGAGACGTTTGTACAGCAAACGAAATACAATAAATAGAGAATGCTAACATTGCAAGTATAACTGCATTTGCCAAAAATCTTGTAAGGAACAATAATAATTGAAATTGATCTCTAACCTGAGTTCGACATTCGGCTATCGACTCCTGCAATAATAGTTAAACAATAGTGAAACCTTTTTTATGCCGTCCTTTAACGAATCGTTCTCGAGGATGTTCTTCAGTGAAGGAACAGGACTTATTAGATCAACAGTTTTCTATTTTTTCTATTCTTTTTATTCAAATTAGAAATGAGATAGAATATGATAGTTCTAGTGGACGATGGTTTTTTTATTTTTAAAGGCCTTACCATTGCTGGTTAGACCCGTTCAATCCACTGCCTTACTGCACTGGGCAAAAATACCAGGGAACCCTTTGATGATAGAAATACAGGTGAGCCGCCGGTATCACCCAGATTTTTGGGCACGCTTAGTCCTACGCAGAAACCGAGCATCGGAACTCCGAATTAAGCAACAACCCATTCCTCAACTGATGGTGATTAATGGTAATAGCTAACCATTGAGTTAATTAATCATTTTTATTTAAATAAGTGGCAAATTTCAAGTTCGTTGCTACAAATGCAAAACCTGAACCAAATTTTGGCACGAAAAATTAGAATATTGTTTCCAGAAAACTGTCGCTGTTTGGTAATGTTACTTAAATTAGAAGAAAAATTCTTCTGCTGAGGAATCGAGAAAATACAATAAAGTTTGCTCTATGAGTGATTGTGCCGACAAGGTGTTCTGTGTTCTGCTCATTAACCAATGAATTAATAAAAGATATATAGCACTTTATTTATAGTTTATTTATTATGCACTATTGTTACTATTATTGCGTAATATACCATTGTTGTTAGGCAATGGTATTACCTTCTTCCACGAATCAGATAAATTTTTTTTCCTAAAATTTTTCTTCTTTTAATTATCTTTAAATTTCTCTTTTTTAAATTTATTTTCTATTCACCTGTATCACCTGTATCACCTGTATCTTTATTTTTTATGTTTGACAGGAGTAAACCTGTTGTGGTTTAGAAAATTCAAGTGGCTGACTCACCTGTATCTCTATCCCCAAGTGATTCCATGGTGAAAGGGTCAATTTCTTTGACGCGACGTTCGAATCTTCCGACGTGCATGCAACTTCTGGCCCCGTAGTACATGCGATAAATATACGATCCGTGCGTAATAATAATAATGATAAAATTCCAAGGCACAAGCATAGAATTTGCTCGCGAACCGAGATGAGTGCTCAAAACCCATCAAGGGAAGTAAGAACCTATCCGCTGACACTTTTTGACGAAATTTTTATGGAATCGTCACGAAATCACTATAAAGACGAAAATCCGCATCCATATATCTATAACTGCAATTCTTGCTATGTGGCTGCGAAACATGGCCAATAAGATTGGAAGATATTAGGAAGATATAAGCCTTCGACCGCTTGTGTCTAAGATACATTTTACGGATCCATCGAGCGGATAAAATCGCACATGATTGTATCCATCTTCACACAAACACCGCCCATATTAACAATATAGAATCGCCTTCTCTGGTTAAAGCACATTCTCCGTCGTCCACCACAGGAGTTGACGCATGTTTTCGTTAATTACCGAATCTAGCGACGGTTGGCATCATAAGTGAGGAGGGCCAATCAATACCTGGACTGATAAAATCAGAAAAGCTTTGAACATAGGAGAACCAGCGATATATGGATGGAAAAAAGAATAGCTTCTATTAATACTACGATGGCGTCGGATCGAATAGCTTGAAGATGTCTTACCTTACCTAACCAGAAATGGTGAGAGGAGAAGTCAAGTCAGCTAAAATTGGAATATTGGAATATTTGAGTTTGAATAATCCTTATTACAAATTTAGCGGCCATGCTTTTCCAAGTAAATAAATGGTTAATGCACACCATTATCTACGGATTTGTAGATTGAACCACAATCAAATATGATCGAAGATTTATTGTAAAAAATGAACTTAAAATAACTAGATAAAATATTGTGGTAAATGTCACGAGAACTGAATCTAAACTACAAATATTAGTGTTTGCTTGATAAAATATATCTTAAAAGTAAATATACCTGAAATAAGCAAAATAAATTTTGAACAGCCTTATGAAAGAAATAAAAGATATCACAAAAATAGCAGCGGAAAGTGATACCCTTATCTTGATAATAATGGCCATAACAGTATTGTAAGCAGTTTCTGGATTACCAATTGTGTAATCCCATCCAGTGAAAAGTTTCCAATTAAAGGTGTATTGATTATCTTTACTGCCAGCCATTTTACTCAACTTTGCGTTTGATGCCATTCTAAAAAACGTTTGTTTTTTTAATTCTTAATTGTTTCTTTAATTCTTAATTCTCAATCTTCTTTTAGTACGTATTATGCTATATCATTATCTTTTTAACGGATAATTTTTTTTACAGTTTTAGCCCAGAGTATCAATAAGAAATACAGTATTTTCATCATTATCGTAACCATATAAAAATTCTTTTCTTTACTATCTTTTTTCAAGAATTATAAAATATTTCAAATATTTCCATTTACGCTAATATAAAAGCCTATTTGCATAAGTGGCACTAGTTGAATTCCATAACAAATTTTTTAAATATTTGAACTTAGTGGATCGAAACTGCCCAAATAGTTCAACAAGACATGAATTATACCGAAATGCAGTTCCGATAAAAATTTAGCATGATTTTTAGCACTAAGTTTAAGATTTTTTAAGCAGGATACTTATAATGAATACTTGCGGAGAATAGCGAAGCAACTATAACCAAAAACAAATAATGTAACAAGGAAATATGCCAACGGTAGAGCGTAACGAATTCCACTTCCAACAAATTCATCATTACTATAATAACCATAAAATAGTGGCGAGTATTTTATATATCCCTATAACAGGTGTTGAAATTATAAATATTAGTATGAGATGTTCACGAATGATGCCCAAATATTGCTGGGCGTCTATAATATTATAGCCAAGTGACTCTCTCGCACGATTATTGTTATTATAATCAGTAGCGCCAATCGAATCGTACAATCAGAAATAAGGCCTTTAAAGAAAAGAAAAAAAAGGAAAGAATAGGGTACATCAAAAGAAAGCACCACTTCTTTTCCTTCCTTTCCTATCCCTTTTTTTTCAACTAAATATAGGTGAAACAGATTTCATGAACGAAACCGTTCAATATTTTTCATGGATCTGCTTTCTGTTCATTAATCCTTCACTTTTTTATTTTATCTTACATTTTTTTTCAAATATCTTAAAATTTCGCAAGATTCTCATGATAAATGATTTTTGGTTTATATGTTTATTCAGAAGCCTAGTTCTTAATCCTGTTTTTAATCTATATATTCACTACAAAACAGCCAAAGAATGCAAAGGAATACCATTTTCCCATTAGCCGAATCAATTCTTAATTAATCAAAACTGCTTTCCTAAAATTTAAGCCTATATAGGCTTGACTTTTTCATTTATATATGAAAATATCTGGGTATTTTTTTTTTTTTTATTCAGTAGCATTCAATCAACCAAGAGTCTTCACCATTACTAGTTAAACTCGCTCACTGCTTTGTTACACTGGGCACTATGCCAGGGAGTCCCTTGGCGATAAAAATATAAGTAAGTCGCCAGCATCACTCGGATTTTTTACTTCTGTGGTGAATCGAACCTCAGCATCGACGCTCCCAATTGATCAAAACCCACTGAACCATTCTATCCCCACTCTTTATGATTATGATGACTTATAACAATTGATACAAATTTCATTAGCTGTTTAAAGAATTATTTATCAAAAAGTGATATTACTTATTGCCAGATTAATAGGATAATAAATATATCTTACATCATAATGCCAAACAACTTGCAATTCATCTGCGTGAAACCGTTCGTTCGGTGGAATAACTTTCCTTGAGTCGGTTCGATTCTTGCGATCTTCGTCTGCAGCCGTATCCGCTAGCACCTATATTCTTAGATATTCTTTTCATGTTATTTTGCTACTTTTGGCAAATATTTTTTGCCGCAAATAAATAACTGACAAAAAAGAACAATTTTTGCTTTATTTCACTGAAACACATAAGAAAATTGTTTATATGAATATTTGATTAGGTTGAACTCACTTCGGGAATGACGATTAAGGAAATAATTATCAAAGAAATCACCAAATTTACAAATATAACCCAACGAAGAAATGTAAAATATGAAGAGACGACTGAACCAAAATGGCCTGAAAAAATGACCAGGAAAACCGATGAAAATCTCTTTTCTGAATACAAATCTTGTGCGTCTTTTCTTAACTGTTAAATATTGCGAATAACAAAACAAAAAATATTTCGGATTCTTTTCAAATTCAGGAACTTATTAGCTAATTCCATTCTGTCTCAATTATTAAATTATTATTTACTATGAAGTGCTACCAGTTTAACCAAATCCTGATCCTGAAAAAACTTCCTTCATGTCTTTACTATAAACGAAATTTGTAAGCTATTTGTAAGTTGTAGCAAAGAGGAATAATTCAAATAAGCTTCATTACACTGAATTATAAGAATTATAAGCAAGATAACAGTGGCGTATAATGGTTTAGTGGCTCCTTCATTATTGTGATCTCGTTATGAAATGTTGTGATTTTATTCCTGGTAGAAGTCCCGGCAGAAGCTTATCTTTCGAAAATCAATGCAATGCTGGCACTTCTATCGTCAAATTACTGCCAATCTCTTCGGTCTGATAAACTAACGAAGAAACCCCTAACTACGCACTTTAAAAATTACACAACTTACTTTCGATCGTTTTGATTTTCGCTTCCCATGGAATTAAGTAAATTTTGATATTACTTAGCCATCGACAGAATCTTCGCCATGTTTTTATCAATTCTCCCTTGTATAAATGAGTTTTTGACACACGAGGTTCATTTTGCGCCAAATATTTCTGGGCAAGTCTTTAAATTTTTAAACTTCAATTATTATTTTCTCATTTTTTCAACCACTCAATGGCAACAAAAATTTTAAATTGCTCGATCCATTTGATTAACTATTCAATGAAACAAATAAATTTTAGTGATAAATAACAAGTAGCCGATAACGATAAAAAGGGCCAGGCAAAAGATGCGGATTTTGCACAAAAAATAGAATTTTTGAGAGGTTTTAAGTTTCAAGTTCATATCTGTCAAACTTAACATTTTTTTAATTTGTTAATACAGATTTTTTAACAAAAACAAATTAACCTTAAGGTCCGACGTTTCCGATTCATATTCCATGGCTGACATCTTAATTTGCCAATCACTTCCTTCTTTTCCCGAATTTTGTCCAACAAGACTTGTCTGCTAACTGGTCTCTCCTCATCCTCATCATCGTCCTGGCTTTTGTTTCCATCAGATGGACCATGGTCCAGGAAATGTTCCGTTTCCCTGCAAAAAACACAGTCTATTTTTCTTTGCTTTTTCTATATAATTTTTTGGGTTTTTACTATTTGTGAAATTTTTTTCAACGATCGAATTTTATTATCTTTAATTCTTTATAAATATTTATTAAATTATATATTGCTGGTACTTGAATGATTTTCATATTGGTGCTTGTATGAAATATAGTTTTAGCAATATTTTTGGGATTTGTTTCCAGTTTCGAATCCATTGATAATTGACTTTAATATCCAATTAAAATAACATCAATAAAATCGATGATCGTTTAAATATTTTTTGTGTAGAAAAAATAGGTAAAATGTTAAAAAGCAAAGGTTTTATAGAAATTTGATTTCGAATTACCGAAAACGATTTTAATATTAAAAAGCAATATAGTTTTAGTTTCATTCGGCAACCGATCCACAAAAAATTGAAATCATTATAAGTAATAGTTTTTACGATAATACCCGCTAAAAGAAGAGGATGCTGATATAAAGGAAAAGCGTACTAAATTATACCAACCAATTTTTGTAAGTATTATAAACGTTCGTTCCGTTAGTTCATCCAAGTTTATCATTGTTTACTCATTTTTTAATTGAAAGAAAAGTGGTTCTTCTAAAATAAACACATTGCTTGCAAAATAAACAAGTAAAAAGTAAAGAGTTAGCGCTCACCATTTCTGATCTGCTTAGTACGATTAGAAATTTTCGCCAAAAAATCACTCGGCATTATAGATACAAGTAGGTTGAAACCACTTGGATTTCTCCATGACAGTTTTCCACTAGTCGAGGAGAATTCAATTCATTAACTTTTAAGTCGATCGCCATTCCCTCGGCTATCTTGCATTTTAATGTTATATTTTAATGCAAAATAAGAAAGATGAAGCATAAATTAAATGTTAAAAAAGATAAAAAATTCTAATCAAAAAAATCAAAGTTAAAATGATATTTTAAAAAAATTTATTGATTGTAATTTTACAATTTTATCAGATATTTTGCTTTTATTCATCATTTCTAATGTTTCATTAATTTCATTAATATAACTAATTTTTCTTTGTAAAATTTTGTATTTAACATCGTCCTGCAGTAATTCTTTGCTTCAGTAGCTTGTCTAGATATTTCATAAATTTTTTTATTAACAGATAGCCTATTGGGCTATTTCTCAGATTATTTGACCAGATTATTTTCAATATCTTATGTAAGATTAAATGTTAGTTCATTCCGTACCTCTACAGTCCGTGAATCGCATGTAAATCAATGTTTTTTTCATCATTAATGGACATTTACAGGATATCGATCCTCACTTAATTTTCTTCCCTTTGATAGCTTTTTTTTAAGAGCACATTCACTCACCATTTGCTGGTTGAGCTCATTCTGCTGAATCAGACAAATATCTATCTAGGAGTCCCATGGCGATAGAAATACAGGTGGGCATCGCTCGGATTTCCTCAGGTTTATTCCTGTCGCGAGCAGAACATCAGCACGGACCTTTCGAATTAAGTAATAACCCACTGAACCATTCTATTCTCGTTTGCATTGGCGATAATACGAAGTGCCGTGCATCGACTGGTTTCGAAGCCAAGCCTCGATTTTGGCTGGAAATCTTTCCACACAGCTATCGACGCATCCCGTTAATGCATTTTACTATTGGAAATCTCGATAGTACTTATTTAAGTATATCGAAATTTTTTATTTCATTTAATAATCAGTCTCTATTTCTAAAATTTGCAAACCACCATTACTTTTTGCACCACAATGCTTTTCTCAGTCAAGCATATAATTATTTGAATTTAAATTATTTCAAATTTCTTTTAAAAAAACTTTTGTGATATTCAAAAAAAAAAATAATTTTCTCAACAAAAATATCTCTATGAACCATACAAAATTCTTTTTTTAGTATTCATTTCTAATCTTTATACTCTTTTCTATCATTTCATTATGTACCAAAAAATCATCTTCCATTTTTTACCACAAATTTTTATAATTAAATTGTAAATAGCCAATTTTTGACCGAAATTCTTAAGTAATCATGACAGTTAATGATTGCTTTATTACACATTATGTTTTGCTTAGACAAATCAAATGAACAACTCGAAGCAAGCAATCATCTGACAAGTTGGATGAAATCGCAGATAATAATTTTTTTTTCGTTCAAAAGATAATTCGTTTTTTTTACTTTAGTCTCTCTTCCCATCCATATTACACCACTCAAATATATTGATGGTCGATTTCGTTAACAAATCAGTATTCAGCAAGTTAATAGCTTAACAAATACATTACTTCAAGGTTATGGAATTCGAAAATTATCTAAATTCGATTTTATACGAATAAAATATTTTTGAGCTTCAAGGCCGGTAAATTTCAACAATTTATGCTGATCAGTTAGAAATATGGTCAAAAAGTGGGCGCTATATATACTAAAAGCTATTTGATTTCTACGCACAATCTTAGGCGATCTGAAATATTCTATACTAAATAGATTGCCAAAACTAACGATTTCGAGTGATCATAATCATAGAGCCCAGAGTGATGAAGTCGCGGATGTGTGCTATTTCTTCGAAATATCGTTATCAAATCAGAAATAATAGAGCCTTTACGAACGCTGGGACGAGGACGAAGCGCCAGTGGCAAAACATCAACATCGTTCCGCAGGCTCATCAAAAATTGTTCCTTGCCGTTGCTCTCTTGTTTTATATCGATATAGTGAATTAAAATGTTCTATACCTGTAGTACCGCAATACTAGGATTAGCATAAATTCTCTAAGAATGATTGGTATAAAACGATATTCGCGAGAAAAATTGAAATTGATAATATAGATGAAAATTTTTTTCCAAATAAAATTTTGGTAGTTGTAGTTTAAGCGAAAGTTGCTGTAGAAAACATGACTATTTAAATATAATAAATAGCAAAATATCGCAGGAAAATGGTAATGAATAAGAGAAAAGTCGTCTTTCATCGTTTGATGTTTGCAAAATCGTTGTTCAATGTTCAACTAACACATATCTTCACAATGAGCTTTCTAATTTAAAAAAAAAAAGTAAAGAAAAATTCGAAAATCTTTGTATTTTGAGTTTAACGGCTTACGTGGTTCCATACCAGAAAAAATCTTGAAAATCGCTGTTGCAGAGGAATAAACGAGTACAAATAAAAACTCACATAGTCATAATTGTAAAGCATTTTAACATATAGGTTTGATGCAAAAAATTCTGATACGAAAAGTCGCGCAAGAAGTGGTTGAAAATGAGATTCTTAACTTCCTAGAATTTTTTCAAAGAAGAAGTTCAGAAAAACAAAATTATCAAAGGTGTAAAATACATTGGTATTCCATATGAAATAATTGGATGGATAAAATGTCGGTGGACGTAAATGAATTCCAAAACAAAATTTTGACAACAATTTTGGTTTTTGAAAAGCCTTAGCCAGAATAATTCTTTTATAGATATTAAATTCGTATGGCAAAAAAAAATATTAGATGCTCTAAAATTATTTGCAATTCTATGAATATGCTTGTGATACAGAATGGTAAATGAGCATGAATAGAATGTATAAACTATGAGCCAATCAGCAACATCCTGTGTAATATTTCATAAAATTTCTCTGCTTTCAGAATGAATGATTTATAGTTATAAGGCTTGTTCTTTTAAACTTTTAAATTTTTTAAAACTCAGAACCTTTGAAAAATCCTTAAAAAATGCCGTTTGTTTATTCAGCACAATAAAGAATCTTGATAAAAAATGATTGATTGATTATTAGCTTCACTATCGCATTTTGCAAAGCCTATGAAAATGAATTATTTATGCAAATCAGACCGTGCAGTTGCCATTCAAATTGTAATCACAAAAAATCCAAATTCTCGTATGACAATAAAAATTTGCATTTTTGTTTTACAGAAGAAAAACAAAATCAAATTTCATCCAACCAGATCATTCTAAATAACTATAATTGTGTAACTTTACTATCATTAAGCTTTAACCAGTCAAATCTTATTTTCACTTAAAAACATGTAGATAAGTGGTTTGCGCTAACAATTTGTGATTAACACTTCGAAAAAACTCATAGAAAGAAATGCATTGGCTAGACTGCGGTTAACACTGTAAACATTAACACAAACTTTTTTGCCTAATTTTGCTGGCTATTAGAGCAGCCGAAATTTTTTACCAGCGAATTACTTTGGAATAAAATTATTGTAGCCCATTCATAAGCGGCCATTTAATGACCAATAGCGAGGGCAAAAACCCAATTTTTACTCACTGATACGATAATCCAAACCATTATTCACAAGGCTATTTTGTTCCTTAGCGAAAACCCTATAACCCTAGAGAAAACCCTATATAAAAACCTATGTAAATTTAAGGAAACTTATGTCCATTATTTAATTATTAAAATGAAAGAATTAAATGTGTGCAAGATTGAGAAAATGAGCTGATTAAAAGAAATTCGACCATTTGCAATTCAAAAATATGTAATTAATTAAACAGTGTTACGCTCAGCTACAATTGTTCGATTCGATAAATAAATAAGTGATATAAATAATTAAAATATCAAATATTTAAATATTTATATCAATATATATCTATCACTAAGGTTGAGCCGTTTATCGATTCGTAGTTAGCCATTAAAATTATACCGTAAATTTTAAAGAGGTATTCTCATTCTCATTCGCATTATTTCTTCCTAGCGCAAAGATTTTAAACTGATGGGAAATTTACTTTTGAAAGATTTTAATATTTCAAAAGAGTATGGGATAAATTCCCGAGAGCAGAGCCTTTCCAATAGATAGGCATGCCAATAGAGAGGGAATATGCCAACATATGGTAAAAAGGAAATGAAACAAAAAAAGAACCATTAAGAACTACTGTTTCAGAGGAATATACTTTTCATATCAATGTAAAACAATGGTTACTTTTGAAGAATAGAACCTTTATTTGTATTATTGTCTGACCTGTTTCACTAGCCTTATTTATTTGATTCGTATCGTAATGAAAAAATACCGAAGAGCTTAAAACAAATACCTCTTCAAAATTTACGATATAATTTGAATAGAAATTTAACATTACCACAGGTTGATCCAATCTCCATTCAATCCACAATCTCCATAAATTTTTTGACAACTCTATGGTCTATAGAAAAGTTCATGTTGATAAAAGCGAGAATAAGTGAGAAATAATGGGAATTCCTAGAATCTTTTTCAGTAAATGCGATATGATAAATTGTGAATTAAGCACAACCAAGAGATCGCTTAAAATTCATTCGATAGGAAGGATCGATTTTTTTCCAGGATTCCATTTGCTTCGATTTACTTATTCAATCTGGATTTGAAAAATCCAGCAAGGAAGATAAATTTAATACATATTTTTTCTCCAAATTACGAAACTTTAGGAATTAGATTGAAACTACGAAATTCATATTTATTAAAGTTCAAATGAAAATAGAAAACGTCTATAAGAAATGAAAGAAACGTTCAATTAGTACGCCTGAGGGGAGTATTACTTCGCAATAAAACAAATTCTTCGCTAAGATTTCGATAAATATTGCTACAACAGTCGTTCACCACTGCCTTTATATTTTAATTTTTCGAAGACAGCATCATCAATCTATTTGAAAATTTTCTGCAACAGGCTCCTGACATAATATCTTCAAATTAATCTATAGGCTTCATGAAACGTGACACAATAATTTATTTTTCTGGAAGAAATTTTCTGCATCAAGGAGATACTTTGCGCAAATGTTGTTTTGTGCAAAAATTAGTAATAACATTCGCAAAGAAATCAGAAAGCATTTGAAATGACAGTCGTTAAATGATTTTTCTAAAAAATAGCTTCAATTGACTGACATATAATTATTTGAAATAAGTTAAATTGTTGAAAAACAAGGTCAAAAAATCATAATTAGTCATAATTTCTACGATTTTAAAGCAATGCAGTGCTTATATTTGAACTTTTAATTGTAATGGATTTAAAACAATCAAAAAAAGGCCCTTAAAAATTTTATACATGGCGGTAATAAGTTTATTAAAATTAGTACTTGTTATCAAAAATTATCAAAAATCATAAAATAAGTAAAAAATCAGCTCGTTATTATTATCTATTTTCCTCTCCGAAACAATCTTTCGTATAATTTTCCACCAATATTTCTTATAGAAAGGTGAAATATAAAAATCTTCCAAAAAATTCGCTGAATCTAAGAGTAAATTCACACTTAAGACCTATAATGTTGTGATCTCTGATTATGCCAGTTACAAACACTTTTAACAATTCTTTTCCTAGTATTTTCTCAGCTGACAACATTGTCTATAATGGCCATTTGACTTGGATATTCACTCCTATAATTTAAGTTCTTTGGATTATTTAGATACATTAATTTACAGTTTATTCTACATTAATTCGCTATTGTGTGCTGGACCTGATATTATCCTGCAGATTTTGTGTTAAAAAACGTTATTTCTATATTTAATTTATATTTTTTGAATTCTGGTTATAATCCTAGAATCTGGAAATTAATTCTTTTTTTTTCATTAATTTTAAAAATGGTTCCTTCCAACTTCATTATTCCATTAGTGTCGCATATATTAGTAGCATACTACTAATATGCAACAAAATACATAATTATTTAGGAGCCAATTCCTGCTTATTAGCATGGTTTTTGCAGTCATAAAATTCTATTACCACTCAGCTCCTTGGTGATCTTTATTGTTCATTATATTGAACGTAGCCAATTTATACCATTTTATATCTTGATAAAGCTTTTGATACCATCAAGCATTGTAAAATTTTCCGACTATTCATAAACTGAATATTGTTGGAAATCTATTCAGGAATTCTGTTCATTAATAATAAACAATAATTGTCTATCAGATTTCTTTCTTGATAAACCTGCTATGCCGTGATGTAATTGCATTGGTCATTTATTTTTATTATGCATATTATTGGTATTGTTGACACTGTTTATAATTTTAAAATTTTATGCTGATGATCTGTCTACTTTACAGATTTGAATAATATGGTAATTCTTCATATTGGCATAAAATCATCCGATCCTCGTTTAATATTTATTAATGATGATGGAGTTGCATGCGATAGTAAAATCTTGGTTTAGACACTGATAATTATATAAAAATAAAAAATCTAAATTTTTAAACTATATGCGTAGATCTTTTAGAAATAAATTTTAGTTAAAATTTCGCAATTTTTGTCATTTTGTGCGGGGCCATTATTCATTTATTCATCTATACTTAGAGAGTAGTTTCTCCTCTCCTAGAAAAAGCAATAGAAAAAGCAAAACAAGATCTGATCTGAAAACACTTACAAACACAGTTTTTGGTCATACTGGTGTGGAACGCATCAAATACTATGGCATCTTTTTAAAATGGATTATTACTCGTAAGTTTTAATGTTATTGCATGCTATTTCTTTTTATGCGGCATGCGGCTTTTCGAAGAAACTCTAATATAGCTACTGTAATATAGTCAATATTTTGCCTTAAATATGAATTATGCAAATAAAATATCCATAATATTATTTAATAGTCAAATGCTGCAATATTTCCTCATTTTTTCACTTTTCTGCAATTTTTTTTCATTAGTTAAACCAGTACTTTTGCTTTATTATTAATTTATGCAAATATAAATCTTTATATACCTCCTCCCAGCAAATAATTTGTCAGTAATTTTACTTAAATTTCACTGCCTATTTGATCTAAATTTTCTTTTCTTTTTTTATGTGAAGATACTGTGATTTATTGTATTTATATCCGAAATAAATAAATATTTGCATGATTTTACTTCATGAATGGTTTCAACTGTCAATATTCTGATTTCAATGAATATTAGTTATTTAAAAAAATAGCTGAGAAATTTTTCTGTGAACTTTCTTGGCGAATAATTAAAACCCATTATCTTTTAAGCAGTTACATATGTTTGTTGCTTTTTAGGTAATATGGAAAATTTGTTATATTTGTTGCTTTTAGGTAATATGGAAAATTTAAGGAAAGCACTTTAGATGGACTAGGTATTTCACTGGAAACTTGATAATTTTAAACGAATATAGCATTTTTTGAAGGCATCTAAGATTACCGAACAAAACAATTGCTTCTTTAAATTAATCGTCGAATTGGTCATATTCTTTATAATTTGCTTCTTATAAAAATCGTTTCGCCAAGTATATTATAAGATATATTATAATATATTATGTTATAAATATTATAGGAAATCATTTCGCCAAATATTTAAAAAAAAGGCGATTTCCCATAAAAACCGCTAAATTTATAGGAATATATGAATAAAATTTAGCATGAAATATGGCAAAATAATTTTAAAGACTTTTGCAAAAAATAAATAAAAGTGCTACATTATAACTATATTAAAGAATTCGCGTCATGCATTACGATAGAGCCAATTAACGAAAATCTGCGATTTAAATTTTGCATGTTCATTAATGCTAAATTACCTAAGAATAACCAAGTACTCATTATGTATCGCAAATGAAAGCTCCACTTTTTTGTAGCGACTTTCGGTGTTGGCTAATACATCCAACTCCTCACTTCCTGAATTTTTTCAATAATGTCAAATGTCTTTGCAAACTTCACTTACCATACGTATTTAGCTAAATAGTTAAAAATAGAAATTGGATAATATAGATACGGATTTGATTCTTTTATGAACAATTATTGATAAATAATCAATGAAGATAAATATTTAGTACAGCTGAACCCACTAAAAATAACTTCAAAAACAATAGGAACAGAGCATTCGAGGCATTTCTGAAAGATTGAGTCAAAAACGTGGCGACAAGTGATCAATCAGGCAAAACGAAGTCATTTGAAAAAGTCGAATTTTCATTTAAAACTTGCCAAGATTTTATCCCAATCCTTGTTTTTCAATTTCTTTACGATGCAGATTATCTTTTCCAGAACTTTTCCAAATTTCGGTTCAAATAATTAATAATTCTAGTGAGAAAAGTGGAATGACAATAAATTAAAATGACAATGGAAAAGAACAAAAAAAATGAAGCTCATGCCTAAATATTCTGAAAACCTTTAAGAAATTAATGCATAAGGATGAGCAATCAGTTAAGACGAATTCTGGTTGGAACTTATGACTTATGGTTTTTGACTTGGAATTTTTTTCTTCTATAAACTTTCAATAATATTAGTAATTTGTCATCAAAATCTTTCCTATTTAAAGAAATACATCGGTAAAAACGAGGTCATAAATGTATAATTGCGCAGTTCCAATTTCACAATTTGAACGAGTTAAGAGAGAAGAACAATTGCATCGAAATAAAATAAATTAACATATACATAAATTAACACAAGGCTCTAGAGAATATTCATTCAGATGTTGTTTTTTACTTGTGCTTATTTGGTCTTTCCTTCTATTAAGACGAAAAAACTAGCTATTAAATAAAATAAAATATTAGAATTCATGAAAGCGCAGTATAATGTAAAGAAATTGACGTGGCAGACGGTATAAACTGTATTTTGAAAGCGGTGACAGGAAGAAATGTGTTTCAATATGAAATTAGACAAATATAAAAATAATTTAACAGGATTCAAAGAGATTTGCAAATAAATGTATATCAGAGAGGAAAGACGATTCTATTTGCCCATAAAGGCCTTTTATACACATGTTTCCTATCAAACTTTCAAATAAAACTAGCCTGATGCCAAAAAGATAGTACAGATCATCATCGAACAATTTCGAAGAAAATCGTCTTCGTGCTGCATGCATATCAATAATGTGCTGTCGAACTACATTCACGAGCTAAATTTTGCAATGTTTCTAAGTTTTGGCTGAATCCTTCCCTAAAATATTTAATTTTAACCAAAATTTAAGCATTTTTATTAAAATTATCGAAAATATTCCCTGAGAAAAAATTTTATCGTAAGGTGAAAAATCGTAGATAAATTCGCATAAATAAAATTTCTTCAATTTCGTTAAACTTTCGTTTGTAAATCGAAATGTATCAAAAAGACTAATTTCATTTCAGGTGCTTTACGCGAATCTGAAATCGAACATAAAATAATAATTTAAATAATAATATATTTATGAAAGCTAGAATAATTTCCAAGACTTAGCATTGTGGCATCGCCTTTTATTTCTCGCTCATTCATTTTAGCTTGCTTCTCGACAAATAGTGGTGCTATGGCGACCTGGAGCATCAGGGGCTCGATTCATTGAGAGAAGTAGAAGAAGCAAAGTGGTTGATTGGTACATTATTTTGGTTGAGGCTAAATTTTTTCTTCCTCTAGTAGATCTGGAATCTGAGTGACGATCTCTATCTACTTATCTATCTACTTATACGATCTCTATCTACTTATACGGCTCTCTGGACAAAACATCATATTAATCAAAAGAGCCAGTCAAATCAGAAATGCTGTGTGCTGTCGAAAAAAATTAATGCCAAAGAATCACCACCTCTTTTTCAGAAAGCATTCCTAAGTTGTTTTACCGCAAATTTCACATTCACTTTTTGTTGTGACTTTTTCGTTTAGACTGAAAGGGGTTTGTAAGGCTGTCACACCACAACAATATAATAATAATTTATTTTTATTGAAAATGGGAACAATAGTTTAGGTAAAACGTGAATTAAAAAAACTGTTTACACTGCAAAGAAAAGAAGAAAAAAAACCCACTCCTACACAACGTTCTAAAAGGAAAAAAAGTGACCTTTTGATTTTTATAAGCAATTCATTGCTTATAAAAATTAATATTAATTATAAAAATTCATAGTTTCGAGAAAGTTCTCGATATTCTCGACATTGTTGTGACCTTTTTATTTTTATAAGCAATGATTCATAGTTTCGAGAAAATTCTCGACATTCCCGAGAGAGGAGAAAACTAGCAAGAGGAAGGAATTTGGGTTGATAACTTAAAACATTCTTAATGGTAGTTTTAAATTCCTTTTTGTAGGTCCTCCCCTAATAAATTCATAGGGATAGCAACGGTTTCTTGATTTGAATTTCTACTACATTTTGGACATAAAAGAAATAAAATCAATTGACAATTTAATTTAACAATAATTAGCACTATCAACAGAATGAGCATACTAGTTCCACCAATAATCATGCGCCAATGTACGGCAAATTCCGAAAGTTCGTTTTGTATCAGTAACGTAGCTTTGCCAATCTCATCATCCAGCTGTTCTGCTAGCTCTTCTCCTTCTTGACTGATTTCTTGCCAGATAGTTTCCATGTTTTGTTGATGAGATACTGGATTGATGGGTTTTTGTTTGCCAGCTAATATTTCTATTTCCGCATTGATTCTTTCAATTTCAAATTTGCTTATTATACCAACTTTGAACCCAACCGTGTTCTGTGTGATGTTTCTCGAATTATAAGGAGCAACTAATAAATTGTCATCCACCCTTTTAGCGATGTTAAATGATATTCCAGATCCCCATTTACAGGTTTTTGTTGCTAATGTTCTTGTCGACATTATGCATAAAACTGTTATTAACATTATACATAACATTGTGAAACTTGACTTACTCCTTAAGCTTATTGGATTTCGTTGTTGTCTTGCCAAATATTCTATCACCTTCACTTTGAGGAATATGGTCTGGGAGTCAGTGGTTTTTACTCCAATAACCGTTGTATAGTACGGAGATGAAGTTGAGTATTTGTTGCTGAATGAGGCAATCCTCATGACTCCACTTTCACCAACCTCTAATTTCAAACGATGTTTGCGCACCAGTATCGAAGAGTACTATAGCTTCGCTTTGAATCTCCTGATTAACTGGATTGATAACATTGACTTTTCTGCATAGAAGTAAAACTTCTTTTTCCCTTTGATCCGTTTGGTTTTTGTTTGTAATATTGACGTTCACGGATTTGGCTTCTTCTTTTTTTGATTCGTCGTGCCCTTGATACTTCTCTTCGCATAGTGCTGTGTTGTGAGGGCCTTTGCAGTAAAAACAGGAACGTTTTCTGTCCGTCGTCTTGTGACTATTATCAAAACAGTTCAAATTCCTTTAATTCCTTCAAACGTTTCGTCCTTTGTTTTACTGTTGAGTAAACCTGACACTCATTATCCCAATGATCTTTATTACAAAATGTGCGGGGTCTTTTTGTTTTAATCCCTTTCGCCTTTGATTTGGGAATTGACCGATAATGCTGAAGTTTCATTAGGGATAAATCGTGAAAATGGTTTTGACTTACTCTTTACTGGTTCTTGATTTTTTGTCATATTCAGGGATTGGATCCTCATTACTTCTTCACTTCTGAGCACTAGTTCCCTGAGAAATTGTCTCAGCTTATTTACTGACCATTCCTGTTCCTTTTGTTGATAAATCCTTTCAAGAATCCATGCTGGCAGTCTGCTTTCAACTATTATTTCAATACTTGACTGCTCCAGGTTCTCGCCCATGGCTTCCAGCTATCGCAGTATTCTTTCGATGCTTTCAATTGTCACTCTCCATTCCCGATTATTCTTTTTGGTCGAGTACAGTTCATTATAGAGTAACCTCTTGATTGTATATGACTGACCAAATTTTTCGACAAGAACCGTTCTGATAATATTGTAATTTTCTGGGGTTATATCATATCCCCTTACAGCTTGTAAGGCATCACCTTTCAAACAAGCAATAAGATAATTTAATTTTTGGATATCTGGGATGTTTTGGGGTGTATTGCAGCATCAAAGCTCCAAAATTCTCTCCATAACTTTGGGTTACCGTCAAATATTGGAAACGGTAACTGGGGCAAATTCACTGTTGTGTGATTTGCTGATGGTATCGTTTCGTTCTGTCGAGTCAGTACTCCTTTTTCAGTGCTTTTTTCTAAGCGTTGGAGCATTAACTCTGAATCCTTTTCATACATTTTAAGAGTGATTATTACATCTTTACTATCATTAATTAAAATACCTGTTTCATCGTCCACCATTTGTGCGTATTCTTCCTCTCTCCTTTTTTGCGGTGAGGAAATTTGTTGAATATACTGCTTCCACTCTTCATTGGTCGTTTTGAGAGATTCCAGATATGATTCGACGCTCATCATTTTCTCGTTGATAATTCGTTTTCTTGTTTCGTGTTGCTCTTGGATTTCTTCTGGAGTCATCATTGGATCCATTTTCTCGAAATCCATTTTTTTGATTTCTTCCAGAATGCTTAATACCTTTTCTTTCACCGGTTGAATAGCTTTAACTATTATAGCTGACATTCCCGGCTCGTGGCACCAAATATGTTGTGACTTTTTCGTTTAGACTGAACGGGGTTTGTAAGGCTGTCACACCACAACAATATAATAATTTTTTATTTTTATTGAAAATGGGAACAATAGTTTAGGTGAAATGTGAATTAAAAAAACTGTTTATACTGCAAAGAAAAGAAGAAAAAAAAAACCCACTCCTACACAACTTTCTAAAAGGAAAAAAAGTGACCTTTTTATTTTTATAAGCAATGATTCATAGTTTCGAGAAAATTCTCGACACTTTTATCATTCTTACTCCATTCTACCATTTAAAATAAGCTTCATAATTATTACGACACTATTAATAAATATATTTAATTGTGCGAGAATAAAGAATTGTGGATATTGCGAAGAATGGTGAAAATGGGCGATGCGCTCACTTTAAGCAAACAAATTTGCATTTCATTGGACTGATTAAAAAAAATTTATTGCAAGAATACTCGACTTGAATATTTTATGGACCACAAAACAAATTATCATATCAAATAAAAGTTAAACAAAAATAAATTTTTCAAAATAAAACAAATAAACATAAAATAACATAAAATAAAAATAGCACAGCTTTTTATAAAATGGAATAAATAAGTAATGACATTTTTCAAAAATTAAATAAAGTAATAGCAAGACAAAAATTCTAATTTTTTCGCCATTTCTTGCAAAGTTTTTTTTAAATCATTCATTTTAAAATTAGCAAACAAGTCGAGGAACCAAATTTTATTGCGGAAAAGAAAGGAAGACCCTTGGGAAATATTGTTAACACGAACAAACTTATTGATGAATGCTTAATCATATCTCAATCACCCATTAAAATTATGAAATTACGATAGAACGGATTACGAATATAAAAAGTAAAAAAATTTTATTTAAAAAATTAAAAATTGCAGCATAGCGACCAGTATTGGCAAAGAAATACTCGATAGGCCGTCAAAAATAAGGACACCATTGATGCACTATTTTAATTCTATGGGCAACTCTGGCAAAATTTTTAGCTGGATTAACAACCAGTCAGCGGGACCTGTCTAATTAGAAATGGTGATCATTGACCACCTATTTCACTTACTAACAGCTAACGAATGAATTCATATTCGCCCAGTGAAATAATGGAGAAAAATAATAAATTTAATTTTCGGATAGTCGAACGCCTCATAAAAATTCCATATAACTGTTACACTTTCAGAAATCTATAATAATTTAGAATTCGCATTCTATTTCGCTTCAAATTTCAAAATCCTTCCAAAAATCCAATTAGTAAAGCAAGGAAACAGTTTAAAAATTCCCAAATGAAGAGCACTTAAAGCACATCATCATTTTTCATTTCAATCTAATCTATCTTAACAAATGGATTTTTCTGAATTCTCTCCGGAATTTCAGGTAATTAGCGCGCTAATTAGTTAAAATTCATTGATAAAATTCATTAATTTGTGAATTTATTTCCTAAAACATCGGATTTTATGATTCATTTCTATATTAATTCAAATATAATCAATTATCAATTTGCCTTTAACTAATTTTTATTTATCCATAAATAATTATCCATAAATAATTAGCTTAAATAATAAAATTCATTAATTTGTGAATTCATTTCCTAAAACATCGGATTTTATGATTCATTTCTATATTAATTCAAACATAATCAATTCGAAAATTAATTCAAACATAATCTGCTATTTTCAAAGAAATCAGTTGGTGCGTATTAAATAGAAAATTGAATTAGGCAGAGATTTCTTTTGTAGTTCTTTTTATTTCCTCTTATTTCCTTCCTTATTGGATTTGCATGAAAAATTTCTGTAAAATGCAAAATATATTTCTGCCGTCTTTCATTTTCAAAAAGATCATCATTTAACATCACTTAATGGCAAATCTTCAATGTAAAAAGCTATATGGGAAAAAGTGGTTTAAATTATTAATTAAAATAATATTAAGTAAATTAAGAAGGAAAAGTAATAACTGATTTTGATTTGTTTCTGTGATATTGAAGTCCTGATGCTGGGACAGCGTGAATAAACCTGTCTTTTAAAAATCCATATGATACTGGTAATCCACTTCTATTGAATCTCTAATATGCTTTTATCGTCAAGTGGCAAAATTTTTTTGATAAATAATGGACTCTAATCAAAAATGGTAAGAAAAAAAAGCATAAAAAGATACGTCCCTAGAGAGATACGAGAGTAGTTGAATGTGCATCGGTGGCAAGATATTACCACAAAGAATCAAGAATATTCTTTAAACGTCCAGAAACTTTTATTCAAAAAAGTAGTCGAGTGGTTCTTTTCAAGGTCATCAAATCAGAATCTTGTTGCGAAGAAAATTGCCATTAAAAATAAAATAAAATGGCGGTGATTATTTTGAAGATCCCTCCTTCAATCCCCAATTGACTCTCTGGTGAAGAAATAATAGAATTTTACTGATTAATAGTGGCAGCTAAACCAGAATTAGTGAGCGTTATTAGAAGAATAAGAAGTAAATATAATATAAGCAAGAATTTTAAATTTTAAAAACAGCAGGAATAAATAAGAAAGTATAAAATAAAAACAATGAGAAACATTTAATTTAAACATTATTTAGTAAAATGGCAATTCTATAAATTTTTGGTGAAAGTTGGAAATTTATTTAGTAGTAAATTTAAAAATATTGATAAATTATTTGATGATAACGGTTCACAGAAACCTTATTAAATGAAATATTAATTACAAAAGAATATTTGAAAAAGAAAATTTGAAATATATAATAAAAATTTCTGACAGATGGATCGCAATACTTTCCTCGTAAATAATTACGAATTGATAAAAGATTCTTGTTAGCGTGCAAAAAAAGCGCAATTTTATGCAGACTTTCGATAGGCATTTCAATATTTGATTGCTTTTAAAATTTTCAAAATTTTTAAATTCTATAAATTTTTTCTCCATTTGTTTCCTTTTAAAATTTATCTAAAAGTTTTTGAGACCGTTTGAACTTTTTCAAAAATTCTTTTTCGTTATTTTGGTAGTATTATTTTCGAATTGTTTTAAGATTCCTCAAATTTCAAAGATTTGAAACTTCAGATTTTTCATAATTTTTTAAAATTTTCTGTAAATTCTGCAAATAAAAGTTCAAAACGAATTCGTTTCGACATAATTAATATGCTACATGTTAATTTTTGAAATATTACCGCAATTTTTTAATTTTTTTAAAATGAATTTCATCGAAAATTGCTCTTTCGAAGTCATTGTTCATTTCTATGCAAATATATTTATTTACAATGATGAATTTCATAAACAATAATTTTTAGGTAATAATAAAGAATTATTTCGCAAATTTATCGAATATTTCATAGATTTTGGATTATTGCTAAGTTTGCAGCAAAATTGATAAATTACACATCTATTGAAATTAAATCTATTGAAATTTGGCCATTTGGCCTTCTTTTTCTTCTTCTCCATTACTGGTTAGGCTCGCTCCAAAGGCTATAAGGGTATGACGCTTCCAAGCGGCGCGATCTGATGCCATTGTCGACAGTAATAGAAGCCATTCTTTTTTCCATCGACTAAGTCCATATATTGCTGGTCCACCTATACGTTCAAAATCTTTCTTGAACATATCAGTCCAGGCCATTTGGCCATTTGGCCTGCAATCTTTGATTGAGATAATTGCCTTTTTGCTTATGCAGTCTCCTTTCTTCCTTATCTTCCATTATATTGTGTAACAATAAATTAATGTGAATATTTTTCTACTATAATTCAATAAATACGAGAAAAATTTAATTGCATTTCAAATTTTTATTTTTAAATCCATTTCAAATTTTTCAAGTTTTAAAAATTTAAATAAGAACTTTGAGTTGTTAATTTTTAAATTTTTAAATTTTTCAATTAAATTCTTCTTCGGTTTGTTTTATGACTAATTATTTTTGATTACGACCAACCGTTTAACATAGAAGAAAAATTAATTCTTCTTTCATTAGC